TCTCTCTCTCTCTCTCTCTCTCTCTCTCTCTCTCTCTCTCTCTCTCTCTCTCTCTCTCTCTCTCTCTCATGAAAGTCTTGACACACACAGGGTGTCGTGCGACTTCACGGCTCATGTATTAGTTTATGTAGTGTTTGCACATCTCCCCATCGTCATTCGTGAGGCAGATTTATGGATACTGAATAAACAGAAAATTACCAACATTTATGAGAAATATAGATTTATGTATAGATATGGTATCGTGAGAATAATATGCAAGTACCAAATTGCACATTAACAGGATTGTTTGGAAATTTAACAAGATAATTCCCTCACACTTTTTTTATTAATACTTTTTCTTAAAGTCACGTAATGTAATGTAATGTAAAAGCATGTCTATATTTGGTTTTTAAATGTGGCATATTTCCAAATATCACCAAACTCTAAGAACCTGTAAATGTGCACTTAAAAAACTATCTAAAACTCTTCATCAAAACCCACTTTCTACGAACCTTTTTCAACCTCCGAGTTCCCCTAACAATATGAGCTTGTTTTTCTTGCAACATATTGAGGTTTTAAGCATACAAATTATCGAATAATGCGCTACTACAAAACGCCTCGGGAAATTGCACGCGTATGATGCGCCAAAATCGGTAATCCACTGGTTTCATATTTTGCCAGAAATTAATTAAAAATTCATCATATGCGTATATCATCACTATATTCATCGTTCGAATTTAATTTGGATTTGTCCACTCACGCACGTGTTTAGACAGGTGCGCTTTATCGCGACTAACACGAAAAAATAGTGCCCCGTTCACACACCACGACAACACGCACAATATTTGAGTAATACCTAATTAGGCAATTCTGTTTATTCTACGCTGTATACGGTTTAGATACACACTGCCTCCCACACACGCCGACGTTTCTTTGCCTTCTCAGTTCCACCCGCCTCAGATGTATATGTGAGAATGGCGTTTTGTTTATCTACTTAAGGAAGCTTATAACACAGCTGTGATTCGGTACACTGTACTATTTGCTGTACTATTGCAGCTCAGCACGCTCTAGAAAGCTATTTTAGCGTGTTTCTGTTAGTGGCCGATATACTATTACGCCGTAAAAATGGTCTCTTTGTGACACTGTCTTCACATTATTCCATAATTACAATAATTCATAAATGTTCAATCTAGGTAACACCAACACGCACGCGCACGTATATGCATATATCAGGAGTATCATAACATTATATCATGACATAAACTATAGACATATCAAGGGTAGAAATGAACTTTTGAACAAGGGAGTCCAACGGACTCCCTGCCCTCAAAAAAAGGGAGTACGCAGAAAAATGAGGG